ACAGAATTGATTATACAAAATACTTTGGACTTATAATTTATAACAGACAAATGGACCCAATGAGAAGGAAAGGTTTGACCTAAGTTATTATTTATCTTTCTGTGTTTTGCTTGTTGGATAGGTAGAGAAACAGGTAGAAAAGATGGAAAAATCGGTTTGTAGTATAAAGATAGAAAATAGAGCTGAATGAAACAAGCAAGCAAAGAGAAATGGGGGCAGACTTCAGATGAGAGTGAAAAAAGGGTAAACAATTCCAGTAGGTACCATAATCTGATAAGGCATATTGCCAGATCATCTCTATTTTTTTTTTTTCTGGACTACTGTTACAGCCTCTACTTTCTATCATTGAATTGGTGCATATGATTATAATAGAAATTAAATTTTCAATGAAATGAATGTCTTTTTGTCATTTTTTTTCTTTAAATAGAATTGACTATCTGAAGAAATGGATACTTCTCCCTCCAAAAAATATCCAGTTAAAAAACGGGTGAAAATACATCCCAACACAGTGATGGTGAAATATACTTCTCATTATCCCCAGCCTGGGGATGATGGATATGAAGAAATCAATGAAGACTATGGAAATTTTATGGAAGAAAATCCAAAGAAAGGTCTGCTGAGTGAAATGAAAAAAAAAGGAAGAACTTTCTTTGGAACCATGGATACCCTGCCTCCACCAACAGAAGACCCAATGATCAATGAGATTGGACAATTCCAGAGCTTTGCAGATAAAAACATTTTTCAGTCCCGAAAAATGTGGATAGTGCTGTTTGGATCTGCTTTGGCTCATGGATGTGTAGCTCTTATCACTAGGCTTGTTTCTGACAGGTCTAAAGTACCATCTCTAGAACTGATTTTTATCCGTTCTGTTTTGCAGGTCTTATCTGTGTTAGTTGTGTGTTACTATCAGGAGGCCCCCTTTGGACCTAGTGGATACAGATTACGACTCTTCTTTTATGGTGTATGCAATGTCATTTCTATCACTTGTGCTTATACATCATTTTCAATAGTCCCTCCCAGCAATGGGACCACTATGTGGAGAGCCACAACTACAGTCTTCAGTGCCATTTTGGCTTTTTTACTCGTAGATGAGAAAATGGCTTATGTTGACATGGCTACAGTTGTTTGCAGCATCTTAGGTGTTTGTCTTGTCATGATCCCCAACATTGTTGATGAAGATAATTCTTTGTTAAATGCCTGGAAAGAAGCCTTTGGGTACACCATGACTGTGATGGCTGGACTGACCACTGCTCTTTCAATGATAGTATATAGATCCATCAAGGAGAAGATCAGCATGTGGACTGCACTGTTTACCTTTGGTTGGACAGGGACAATTTGGGGAATATCTACTATGTTCATTCTTCAAGAACCCATCATCCCATTAGATGGAGAAACCTGGAGTTATCTCATTGCTATATGTGTCTGTTCTACTGCAGCATTCTTAGGAGTTTATTATGCCTTGGACAAATTCCATCCAGCTTTGGTTAGCACAGTACAACATTTGGAGATTGTGGTAGCTATGGTCTTGCAGCTTCTCGTGCTGCACATATTTCCTAGTATCTATGATGTTTTTGGAGGGGTAATCATTATGATTAGTGTTTTTGTCCTTGCTGGCTATAAACTTTACTGGAGGAATTTAAGAAGGCAGGACTACCAGGAAATACTAGACTCTCCCATTAAATGAATACTTGATTATTATTATCTCCTTAATGTTCAATTATTAATACATATACTGCCATTTTAATGTTTACCTATGAATGTCTTTTGTGTTATATAATTGACAGAGTGCTATATAATATATAATATATACAAATGCAGAAAATTTATTCTAGTCTAATATATTCAAATACAAATATTAAATTATAAAATACGTTATGAATCTGGTATCTTTATTGGTATTTATCAGTGTCTTTCCAGGTAAATTGTAGTAGAATGAGAATATTAACTGCTATTACTAAATAATAGAAGACTCAAAGAAATGACCCCTTTCAGATGGAACTGAAGTTCAGAAATTAGAAATGTTCTACAAATGTTCAACAAAACTCCTTCATTTGTGAAAAATACACTATAAGGTGAAATGTTGAACACCAAACCCTGTTTTGTCATCTACTTGCATTAGAAAACTAGAAGTCATAGGGCTGGGTTGAGGCAGGAAAAGAGGAAACAAGGGAAAAGAAGTGGCTTTTTAATGACAATGGGTGGTTGTCCAAAGTTAGAACAGGAAATTGGTATTCCCCTTATTATGGCTACATTAGGTGATACATAGGAAACAGAAATAGGGAGAAGTGTGGATTCTCGCCAGTCCCACCTAGTCCATGCCATTTTGTCCCTGATGTTCGGAGACTTAACGTTGGGGTAGGGTCTGCTTATCCTCAGTTATGTAGATCTCGTCCAAGACTGCCCTTGTTTATGATTTTGTGGCTAATGTATGTGTAAACTGCAGTAAACGTACTCCTTACTCCTGAAAAAGGCACCAACAGTAATCACAGTATAGCAGAAAATTGACATGGTATCCTAAGATTCTTTTCAAAAAGGTCTAAAAGTCTGTAAAAGGCTATATGATGGCATTAAGTCTAATTTTGGCCATTCTTACCAATTTAGCACAAATAAATGATATGGTGCTGGTTATTAAACTATTGTCTCAGGTCCACATTCCCCCTTCTATACTTTCCTCTGTAATGCTATGGCTCAAACCCTGCAAAGTACATTTTTTCTATGCCAGCTGATGTCTCACTAGGTTCCATCAATAAAGGGCATTAGAGGGAGTCTGGAAGGCAGAAGGCAGGAAGGGACTTCCTCCTTTCCATTTGTTTGCAGTTTCTGTCACTGTTATCCCAGCAACAAGCCAGAGCCCTTTGCTCCAGCAGCAGCAATTGATTTCAGCCTTGAGCTTGTTTTGACATCCTCCCCACCCACAACTAGTCTCATCATATCCTTCCCCGAAGTAGTAGGATCAGCCAGACAGCATCCTCTTGGGGGTCTGAGCAATACTCAGCCAGGTCATTTGTCTAGAGTTTCTGAGACCTCATAGTGCACCTTGATTCTCCCTTCTCATTAGATCTAACACTGATAGCTGCTCCCTGCAGCTGTCACCTCTGGGTGACCTCAGTGTTCCCTTTTTGCTTTTTCAGTCAATGAAAACTCAATAGTAAATCCTCTCTGTAGTAATACCATCTAATTTCTGATTTCCTGACTAACATATCTCTAAACTTTCCCCCAAAGGAAACTATAGCCATCAGCAGGGTACTGTGCTTTGGGAAAATGTCAACATTTAGATTTTTTCAGGGATTACTAGACAGTGGCTCTCAATAGAAATTATGCAAACTGAAACACAGAAAAAGATTTGGAAAAAAAAGAATGAACAGAGCCTGAATGACCTGTACTAAGTACTGAGAAGTCTAGCATGAGTTTAATTGTAGTCCCAGAAGAAGAGGAGAAACAGAATGGGATAGAAAAAAAAACATTTGAAGAAATACTGGATAAAAGTCTTCCAAATTTGATAAAAGAATTAAAAAAGAAAGAAAGAAAATGAGAAAATAGCAACCCACAGATCCAGAGAATGAAATGAACCCCAAGCAGGATAAATAGAAAACCAAAACAAACATCACAGTGTAATGAAACATCACAGTGTAACTTTTGATAAATATAACGAAAATCTTAAAAGCATTCATAGAAAAAGACACCTAGAAACATCAGTGTAACTTTTGATAAATATAAACAAAAAAAAGCATTCATAGAAAAAGACATAAGACATACAAGAAAACAATGATAAGAATTACAACTAGTTTCTCACAGAAACAATGGAGGCTGGAAGATGAGAATGACGTCTTTAAAGTGCTGAAAACAAAAACAAAAACACCCTTTGATGGCTTCTCATTGCCTATAGAATAAACTGTAATGTGCTTGACTTCCATAACCTGGTTATTGATTGTATTTCTAGCTATCTTTTGCTCTAGCAATATTCTACTGTTGTTTAATGCCTTTTTATTATGCAGGCTCCTCTATGTGGACAGCTTTTTTCTAGTTAATTGCCTGACTAACCTGACCACACAACTCCTTTCCCCTGTGGCTTAATGTCCTCCTTGCACCTATCTATTTTTGTATTTACTAAACTAATAACAAATATCTGTTTACATTTCATTCTCTGACACTGGTTTGAGCACTTTTTTTTTTTTTTTTTTTTTTTGAGATGGAGTCTTGCTTTGTTGCCCAGGCTGGAGTGCAATGGCTCGATCTTGGCTTACTGCAATCTCTGCCTTTTGGGTTCAAGCTATTCTGCCTCAGCCTCCCAAGTAGCTGGGATTACAGGCGCACACCACCACGCCAGGCTAATTTTTTTTGTATTTTTAGTAGAGATGGAGTTTCACCATCTTGGCCAGGCTGGTTTTGAACTACTGACCTTATGATCCACCAGTTTCAGCCTCCCAAAGTACTGGGATTACAAGCGTAAGCCACCGCACCTGGACTCTCTGTAACAATTTCTAACTATAAACTATCAGGTTTCTGGGAAAGGTCTTGACATGGAGGCTTATTTTTCCCTTTCTTGTGTTCCCAAATTCTTTTATTTGGGATTGATAAAGTAAGCCACCTGCGTGTTTTTAATCGTAGACAGGCTGCCCATATCCAAAGCGCCACCTGTAGTCCCTAGATAAATTTTGTTTTTTTTTTGAGACGTGGTGTGATCATAGCTCATTGCAGCCTGAAATTCCTGGGCTCAAGCCATCCTCCCACCTCAGCCTCCAGAGTGGCTGGGACTATTCAGATTTTTTTTTTTTTTTTTTTTTGAGATGGAGTCTTGCTTTTTTGCCCAGGCTGGAGTACAGTGGCACCACGTCAGCTCACTACAGCTTCAACCTCCCGGGCTCAAGTGATCCTCCTGCCTCAGCCTCCTGAGTAGCAAGGACCAAAGGCGCATGCCACTATGCCCAGCTGATTAAAAAAAATTTTGTAGAGACAGGGTCTAGCTCTGTTGCCAGGGCTGATCATAAGTTTTGACTTACATTTTCTTGTTGCCTGATTCTGGTTAGTCCCTGATCCACTCAGCACTAATTAGCAAGGCTGATTCCTGTTTTTGGTTTGAGTTCCCCTGAAAGAGAGGAAGCAGCAGCCATGTGCATGTTTATATTTGGAAGCTGGGTAGACAGACTGTGAAAGGAAGTCTCTGGGACAGCTCCCACCCCATGAAAACATGTATTGCATCCCTTCTAAGTGCAATTTCATAAATGCCTTTCTGCCTATCTGCCCTTCCAGTCTATGCTTTCCTTTTTCATTGCTATTTCCTTATTCTTCTTCGACTCCTCTTTTGCATATATTTTTGGAGGTTTCTTAAATTTTTTTTTCAGAGTTCCTGGTAAGAATGAGTGATGAGAAAGATTAAAGAAGGAAAATTAAGATAAAGTGGCTGGGTGCTGTGGCTCATGCCTGTAATCCCAACACTTTGGGAGGCTGAGGTGGGTGGATCACCTGAGGTCAGGAGTTTGAGACCAGCCTGACCAATATTGTGAAACCCGTCTCCACTAAAATTACAAAAAATTAGCCAGGTGTGGTGGTGTGTGCCTGTAGTCCCAGCAACTTGGGAGGCTGACGCAGGAGAATTGCTTGAACCCGGGAGGTGGAGGTTGCAGTGAGCTGACGTGGTGCCACTGTACTCCAGCCGGGGCAAAAAAGCAAGACTCCATCTCAAAAAAAAAAAAAAAAAAAAAAAAAAAAAAAATCTGAATGTATGACTTAAGCATATTTTTTTCTGGGTTAATTTTCCCCACTTAAGGTGGTGGTAAGCTACGTGAAGGCAAGAACTGTATTTCTGTCTTTTACCTGTTGTATTTGATTTCACACCTTCTGCCTCCATCAGATGTTAAGTATGTAATTAGAATTAAAATTGAGTCAGGCTGTGCTAACAATTTGATGGGTGATTTTGCAGCAATAGTTTTAACTCTGGACAAGTTTCTTCAAAAATGAATATAATATTAATATCTCAGTCTGTAAACTTTATAAAATGTATCAACAAAACCATTGTATTAGCTTGGGCTGCCATTAACAAAATACTAGATTGGGTGGCTTACACAACAGAAGTTTATTTTTTCAAAGTTCTGTAGGTTGGGAGGTCCAAAAGAGGGTGCTGGCATGGTCACTTTTGGGTGAGGGCTCTCTCACTGGCTTGCAGATGTCTGTTTTGCTGTGTTCTCAAATGGAGAGAGCTCTCTGGTGCCACTTTCTATAAGGACATTAATCTTATGGGATTAGGGCCCCACCCTTATGATCTAATTTAATTTTTATTACCTCCCTAAAGGCTTAGCCCCAAATAGAGATAGTCCCTGACTTAAGATTTTTTTGACTTTATGGTGGTGCAAAAGCCATATGCACTCTAGAATCTGTACTTTAAAGAGTACCCATAAAACCACCCAGTTTTTCATTATTTAGTAGATTATATGAAATAATACTTTATTAAAAAATAAGCTTTCTGTCAGATGATTTTGCCTAACTGAAGGCTAACGTAAGTATTCTGAGCACGTTTTAGGTAGGCTACACTAAGCTATGATGTTTGGTAGGTTAGAAGCATTAAATGCATTTTTGACTTACGATCTTTTCAACTTATGGTATTTTCAATTTATGATGGGTTTATTGGAACATAACCCCTTTGTAAGTTGAGGGACATTTATATAGTCACATTAGGAGTGAGGGCTTCAGCATATGAATTTTTTGGGGGGATGCAATTCAGTCCATACCAGTCATGATAAAACATGCAAAGCTATTTAAACCCTTAGAATAAACTCAAAATCCACCGCCAATATTCACTTTGGATGCCAATAACAGAATGTAGACATAGAGTAGCTGTTGCCAAGTTTCATGGTCTACTTGTCTCAGCCAGCCTGAGGATAGTACAGCATAGATAGATAAATTTGTGCTTGACCTTGTGATCCTACATATGGCAGGTTGTCTTAGTCCCTTTAGTGCTGCTAGAAAGGAATACCCAAGGCTGGATAATTTATAAATAAAAAAGGTTTATTTGGCTTATGGTTCTGATGTCTGGAAAAGTTCAAGACTGAGCATCTGCATCTGATGGGAGCTTAAGACTGCTGATACTCACAGCAGAAGGCAAAGGAGAGCTGGTGTGTGCAAAGATTACATGGCCAGAGAGGAAGAAAAAGAAGGGAAGTGCGACGTTCTTTTTAGCCATCTCTCAGGGAAATAAAGAGTTACCCCCTTCCCAGGGAGGACGTTAATCTATTCATGAAGGAACCACCTCCATGACCCAACACTGCCCATTAGTCCCTACCTCCAACATTGGGGATCAAGTTTCAACAGGTGGTTTAGGGGGACAAACATCTAAATTACAGCACAGGCTAACCACATGCATGCATTACCAATCAAATAATTTGAAGTTAAATGCAGAAAACTGCAAACTTTTGAGGCTTATAGCCAGGGCCAGGATTAAAATAAATATTAATGCCTTAAACAGTATTTACTGACCATCTACCCTACTACAAGGCCCTAGGGAGAAACTGAACAGACATGGTTCCTGATTCAGTGGAGTTTACAATCTAGGTAGTGATACAGGCAAACCATTTCAATAGCTCGGATGGAGAAAATACCTATGCTCCAAAGAAGGTACCTAACTCAGCAAACTTCCCTGAGGAGCGACTCTAAACTGAGCCACAAAGATGGTTAAGAAGAAATGAGGCGGCTGAGCGTGGTGGCTCACGCCTGTAATCCCAGCACTTCGGGTGGCCAAGGCTGGCGGATCACGAGGACGAGAGATCGAGACCATCCTGGCCAACATGGTGAAACCCCGTCTCTACTAAGAAAAAAAAAAAAAAAAAATAGATGGGCGTGGTGGTACACACCTGTAGTCCCAGCTACTCGGGAGGCTGAGGCAGGAGAATCTCGAACCCGGAGGCGGAGGTTGCAGTGAGCCGAGATCGCGCCACTGCACTTCACCCTGGCGACAGAGCGAAACTCGTCTCAAAAAAAAAAGAAATGAGGCAGGTACCGGCGAGGGGAAGAACCAACTTACTGATACCTCAGCCAGTGGCTGGAGCCCTAAGAATGGGCAGACCTGGCTCCGAAGGTGGTCTTCATAACACTACTGCCGCCAAGAATGTAATGTAAGTAAGCTGCCCAAGCACAAGGACACTTTTAGCGGGCCCTCAGCTTCTTTTGGTCTGTGCCTCAAATTAAGCACGTCTTACATTTCTCCCAGGTCCCAATTTTCAGGTCTGCTTTTCTTTCTCTTTCTTTGTCGCTCCCCGCTCCTAAGAACCTTTCGCTGGGAAGACATTCCTCAAGTGCAGAAACCGGGGGAAGCTCCCAGAAGAGTGGGGGCTGAACCCAGGACACAGTCATTCTTGCTGTGGAGTCTCTCCTGCGGCGCTGAGAAGGAAGGCTCGAAGTAACCAGCCAGAGCAATCGCACAGGGAAAAGCGAAGACGGTTCTGGTCGGGCCCGGCGCTTCTCACCCTCTAGCTCGCTTCGCTCCGCGGCGCAGCCTCCGCTCCCTTCACACCACGCACGGCGCTTGATTGACATGTGGGCCCGCCCAATCCCAGTGTGGCACAGACCGCTGTCGCATCAGGGACCGGGAAAGGGGGCGACTGAACCTATCAGATTGGGCCGAGAGTGGGTTTCCTGCCCGCGCGGATCCGCCTGCCCACCGCGCGTGCCCCGCCTCTCTCCCGAGAGCTACGCGTCGGCGGCAGAGCGCAGGCCTCGTGCCGTTACGGCCATCACGGCGGCCGCGGTGGCGTCCTGGAGCCCTCCTCAGGTGAGCTGGAGCTGCCCAGCTCGGCAGCAGGAAGGTGAGACGGCCTTGCTAGCAGGCAGACACACCCCCACCCCACTTCAGTCCGCTGTCCATCCACACAGCCTGTTAGTCGCTGCGTTGCTTCCTCTTCCCCGCTGAGTTAGCCCCGGGGGCGCCGTCTGCAGGCTCGGAGCTGAGCCGGAGGGGGCGCGGAGGCTGCTCAGAGGGTCCGAACTTCTGCACCGGGATTCCGCGAGGCCCTCGGGCCGTTGCCCCGGGGAGCGCGACCCTGCGGCCTCCTTGTCAGCCCCTGGAGCGCTGCGTCGGGGTGAGAGCCCGGGCGGCCGCCCCTGCGAGGCTGGGAGGTCGAGTGTGGGGCGCGCTGGCTGACTTGTCTGTTTTCTCCTGAAAAAGACCTTTTGCCAGCTGTGGCGTAATCCGAGGCCGGGAAGGTAGGACGTGGTAGGAGGAAGGGCGCTCTCACCTCCAGCGCGAGAAGAGGGGAGGCGGCAGCCTGTGCGGTGCTGCGGGTGGACATCTTCGGGACGCGCCCTCGCCCCTCCCCCCACCCGCCTGCCGTTTTCTAGTCCGGGGCTGTGACTTTAATCGTCTGGACCTGCTTCAGATTCGTACGCGAGTTGCTGGGGCTGTGAACTTTTGACTTGAGTTGTAATATGTTTGGTTAAAAAAAAACCATTTCGATAGGTTTTGTAACCTTTCTTCTGTATTAACATACAAGTTAAATTCGCCGTTAGAAGCTCAGGAAGCTGAGTTTTGTTCAGGGCTGAGGACGTAGAAACCGTAGAAGGGCTCTCGGAGTCAAACTGATGAACTTGGAGTCACCTGATCATAATTATACACGTTAGATTAGGTAGGAAGCCCTAGAAATTAGGAAAGAATGAGGTTAAGGAGAATTTCCTAACCCTTCTTTGGGTGGGGAGCAAAGCAGCTCAATGTCCCTCCAAAACGGGTAAGTGTTGCTAAGAGGTACTCATTTTTAAAATCTTACTTTGTCAGACTTATGACAAACCATCTATAACGATTTCTTCAGCACGTGGAAACCAGTGTGCCTAAACTCCAGCCTTCAGCGAGGTCACACAGTAAACGGAGAAATAACCTAGGAAGAAAGTTTTGTTCGGTAATTGTCAATAATATTCGTTCTTTTCTTTTTAAAACACTTTATGTTCTTGTGGGAGTGAAGTCAGTGATGTTCTTCAATAGGCATCCCATTCACAACTTGATAGTAATGTGCACTGGTTGATAAATGGTACTGTCTTTTCAATTTGACCACAAACTCTGAGACTTCTTTGGGAAAATTGTGATCTGTGGGAATTGTCTTTAATATCCATAACCATAGGTTGCAGAGTGTTCAGATCTACTCAGCTGTTGGCTCATGTATTACATTTTAAAATGTGTGCTTATTTTTCCAGGCATTATCTTTTGTCCAGATTTCTGCAGTGCTTTCAGGTCCAACTAAATAAAATTTGAAACCTACGTGTAATGTTGGCGGGGCGCGGTGGCTCACGCCTGTAATCCCAGCACTTTGGGAGGCCGAGGCGGGCGGATCACGAGGTCAGGAGATCGAGACCAGCCTGGCCAATATGGTAAAACTCCGTCTCTACTAAAAATACAAAAATTAGCCGGGCGTGGTGGCACGCGCCTGTAATCCCAGTTGCTTGGTAGTCTGAGGCAGGAGAATTGCATGAACCCGGGAGTCGGAGGTTGCAGTGAGCCAGGATCGCCACTGTACTCCAGCCTGGCAACAGAGCAAGACTCCATCTCAAAAAAAAAAAAAAAAAAAAAAAAATTTACGTGTAATGTTTTGTTAGATACTGAAGGAGACCCAGGTAGGGTAGTTCAAGCCTGTAATCCCAGCACTTTGGGAGGCCAAGATGGGAGGATAGCTGGAGGCCAGGAGTTTGAGATCAGCCTAGGCAATATAGTGAAACTGTCTCTAAATTAAGAAAATTAAAAAAAAAAGGAAAATAATAAAAGAGATATTAAGTGATACTGCATGGTTCTGGTTTTTTTTCTTTACTGTTTTTTTTTTTTTTTGAGACAGAGTCTCACTCTGTTGCCCAGGCTGGAGTGCAGTGGCACGATCTTGGCTCACTGCAACCTCTGCCTCCCAGGTTCAAGTGATTCT